CCACAGAGTTTACTTACTTTCTGCCATGTAAGGGTCTGAGAAGTCAGCTGCCTGCAACCAGAAGAGCACCTTCTCCAGAACCTCATTCTGCTGGCACCCTGATCTCAGACTCCCAGCCTCCAGAACTGAGAGAGATCAATGTTTGTTGCCAATAAACCATCCCATCCGTGGTATTTTGCTCCAGCAGCCCAGGTGAAGACCGAGGCTAGCAATCTGAATGGAGGAAATCCTTATATTTAGTTTCAATGTCTATTCTCTCTTGACTCTGCTTCTTTATCTCTTCCTAACTTTGGGTCCATTTTGTTTTCATTGTACTCCCCTTCCGGCAGCTCTATGCTTGCAGAGCCATGGCAGGACATCTTTAAATTAACATTTTAAATAGAAAACAGGGGCACCTAGTTCGCTAAGTCAGTTGGGCATTCGGTTTTTGATTTCGTCTCAGGTCATGATCTTGCGGTTCATGAGATGGGAGCCCCATGCTGGGCTCTGCGCTAACAGTGCGGAGCCTGCTTGGGCTTCTGTCCCTCTCTTCCTCTCTCTTCCTGCCCCTCCCCCACTCACACATGCACGCTCGCTCTTTCACTCTCTCAAAAGAAAAAAAGAGAAAAAAGCCTAAAAGGAAACTCTCCACAATCATTAGTGACTAAGTACTGGGAACCTATGTTCTCACTCTTCCTCCATGTTATGTTGTTTGTGTTCTCAAGATGATAATACGTGTATAAATTGCTGACACATTAAAAATAAAGTTTAAAGTATATACATATAAAGCATATATTGGTGCAATAATGGTAATTTAGAATAAGGGACTCAAGAGACAACTATTTGTAGTGTGCTGTCTTTCCCTTGAAACTTACCCAAATATACATGCTGTAAAACAAAACATTTAGGATACAATCAGGGAAATTTGAACACTGGATATTTGATGAAGTACAGTTTTGGGGCACGATAATGGTATTGTAGTTTCTTTTTTTAAAAGAACTATCTTTTAGGGATACTAAAATACTTTGAAATGAAATGGTAAGATGATGCCCGAGGTTTGCTTCAAAACAATCTGGGGGGAAAGAAGAGTGAACGAGTGTAGAGGAAATAAGAATGGTCATGAAATGGTAAATACAGGCAAATGGAGATTCATTATACCCTATGCTCTTCATTTGAATGTTAAAATTTCCCATAATAAAAAGTAACAAAACAAAACACAGAGTGACAGACATATATTTACTCCGACACCAGTTATTTAAACAAGACGAGTCCAGGTCTCACTCCCAAACTCCCCACGCTTCCGGAGAGGAATGGAAGCCAAACGTCCCAGGCCACCCCTTTGAGCACCTCAGCAGTAACGGCCATCTGTCCCTGGGAGCAGCAGTGCCAGTCTCAGCTTGCACATGTGGTAAAGATGAAAGAAGCCTGGATGAATGACATGTTTCTCAACATACATATTGGAGAGAACTACATGGATCACAACACCCACAGGAAGGTAGGAGGAACCCTCACCCTCAGGTCCCATGTTCTCCAGGTGCCCTGGGCCTACTTGACAGGGGTAAAGGTATTCCATCCTCTGAAGCTGCCCCAGTTGGGCACCTGGAGCTGTGGAGCACACGTGCTCTTGGTTCACTTTCAGCTCCAAGGCTGGGTAGGGCACAGTCGGCTCTGGGGCCTTGCACGGTTCCTAGGATTAGCCAGCAGAGACTCAAGTCTCCGTACTGCCTCCATTCCTGCTCCCCACTGTGGGGTAGCACAGAAAATGGGAACCAAGCGAGCAAATTCAAATTGGGGTGGGGAGGGAGAATGCCACAAACCTTTGATTCTCCTTCAGTCTTGGCCTGCTAAGAGTAGGAGGAAACAGTACCCGGACGGCAGAAAGTAAGATGGTAACAGACCATGAAAACAAGCTAAAAGCTGAGCGCCAAGGACTGCCTATCCCTTGGGACCCAAAATATGATTATTTGTGTCATAAATGTATGTCTTAGGAACATGGCTACTTGTATTTCATTTATTCAGTTTCAGCCTCTCCCAAATATCCTTTTTTATTGAGTACCTGTGTCAAACATGGTATCTCATTTAATCTTCCCCTAGAAATTACCTGTGGAAGGAATACCACCTGAGGAAGGTGCTATTAGCCTCAGTACAGATACAGAAACTGAAAACAAGAGCTTAAGCAACTTGCCCAAATTCACACAGCTTATAAGAGGAAGAGCTGGGATATGAGCCTTATTACTTCACAAAGCTGCTATATTGGGGAAATTGATGTTGACCCTAGGAATCTGCCCAAGAAAACCCCAAAAAGAGAGGGGTTCCTAGGTGACAAAATTGAGACTGTTTATACCCTGCCCCTGCCAATCGCCAGCCAGTCTGCCTGGTTCTCATGGCACAACTGGGAGTTGAGTGGATGCATCAAAGGAGGTTCTTCCCATGCTGTGCTCCATCCTTGGTACAGGGTGCCTCACTAGGCTTCTCTACCCCATCATCACATCCCAGTTTCCAGAAACCTCTTGGGCCCCATGAGGAGCTCCCATTACCATCTGTAGTGATGCTTGCATCAGCTTCCACGATTGAACACTGGGACACAGCGCACACACGCTGCTCTCTCCCCTTTCTTGCCACCATGCCCCAGTTTCTGCTCCCTCTATCCCACCAAGACTGCTCTGGTCAGCTCATCAGGCATCTGAGAATCAGGTGCTACTTTCCAGAATGCAGCCCACAAGACCTCTGAGCTGTATCAGAGCCTGCTGACTACCTCTCCTCCTTGGCCTTGTGACACTTCTTCTGGGGACCTTTCTCCAATGGATGCTCCCTTGAGCTCCACTGCAGGCTCTGTAACACTCAGGACTGCCCCGGGCTCTTGCCTCCCCCTGCCCTGGACACTCTCTTCGGGTGACTTGAGGCCTCACCTGATTTCCAGGCCTTCAGTTGCTTGCTCTGCCTTGGCCAAGTCCTTTGGGCCAGTGCCTTTCTGCTCACCTCACTACTTCAGGACTTGGATGGCTGCAGGGCATGGGATCCGGCTTTCCTGGTGGCCAAGTAATGCAATCCCAGCAAGTGAGGGAGGGAAAACTTGGAGCAACAAAAGAACACAGGAGGAAGAGGAGGTGAATCTGCTCTCCATCCTTCCATCAATCCCAATGGAATGTTCCAGCTGGGCACAGTGTTTCTCAACAGTCTATCCAGAGACAGTACACACAGGCAAGGGGTTAGCTGTGTCTTTGTGAAGCAGCGGCCAACTCCTAAAAACATACCTCATTTCTTTTTCTTCCCTGCCTAGCTTCCCTCAATCCTCTTCCTCCATCTCAGTGCTTGGAGATTGCAGCTGCCTTAAGCACTAGCACTTCAGCTTTGCCTCCGGCTCAATTTTCTGAGGAACCTGAACTAAGACACTACACCTCATCCAAATCTCCAACCACCAATGACACAGCTCGTTCCCCTACCTGTATCTCCAACCTAGACTTCCCTAAACTCCAGACCCAGCTGGCTCCAACTGCCAATGGCCATCTGCACTCGGGCATTCTCACAAGCACCTCAAACTCATTTTCAAAATGAAACTCACAGTTCTCGTCCCCAAACATGTACTCTTCTCCTGTGTTTGGGGGGATGAAGAAATAAAAGACATCTTGTTGGAACTCTCAGTTTGTCTAAAGTGAGCGACAGATGGGTTAACTAACGATTACAATGGAAAGAGAGGCTTCCTGGCATAAAGCAGTGTTGCAGGTGTGTGTGCTGGGGAAGAGAAGAAAGCCTGCCGTGCACCAGGCACGGCGCTAGAAGCCCATGTGCATTATCTCATTTAGCCTTCACAGCAACCCTGTAAGGTATCATTCTTTCCATGCTGTGATTCAGAAACAGACTAAAGATTAGAGACCTTGCCAAGTAACAAAACAACTAAATCCAAGCACACCTGGAAAAAAGGTTCATATTCTCTGCTCCGTCCAGAAGAGGAGCACCTAACAAGCAACAGGAATTGGAGATTCCCTAAGGTGGCAATGTCAGAGTGGTCTTAATACATGAACAGGATGTCAGCTGAGGTGGGATGGGGGCAGGGAGGTGGAGCAGAGGGCAGGAGGGGGCTAGCATTCTGAGCAGTGGAAAGGAGTCTGAGAGAGCACAGGGTGGCAAAGAAACTGTAGGGATTCACTAAGGCTAGACCACAAGGCACATGTGGACAAGTAGACCCACAAGAGGATGGAGAGGTGGGCAGGACCCAAATCATAGACAGCCTATTCTAGTAGGTGTGCTATTCTAGTGAATTCAAATTTTATACTCTAGATACTTAGAGAAACTATTTCAGGGTTTTATCTAAATTTTACATTTTAGTTGGAAGAATCATTTCAGGATTTAAAGCAAGGAATAACATGGCCCAGTTTGCATCTGGAAAGGTCCCTCTGCCGTCAACAGGAACTGGTTGAGAGACACATGGAGGTTGGGTAGCTGAGCCTAAGTCCCAGCTCTCCTAACTGAAGATGAACTTAGGTGCCAAGCCCTTGGTCCAGCCCTTTCCCCCTTGTTCACAGTAACTTACTGCACGTGAACATTCTATCGGTCTCTCAAATTTGGCACAGCCAAAGCCTCCTCAGCATCCCTTCTTCTCCACTCCCACTCTGAGCTGAAAGGCCCAAGTCCCACTCCCAACAACACACAGAAAGCACTGAAGCAGAAGTTGCTTTAATCAAGGGGTGAAGTCCTCTATCAGGGGGACCTCACTGAACCTTTGGTGGTGGGGTCTCAGCCTACCCCCCACATGCCCTGAGGCCCCTCAGGAAGGAGGGAACAGCTGAACAGCAAATTCTGGCAGAGGCCAGGGAATGGAAATAGGGGAACCCAAGTCGAGGGGCAGGAGCAGGGCACTGACTGGCAGAAGTGAAGCTGAGTAGGGCAGGAACAGCTGTACACACACGGTTCTACAATGGGGACTAACTGAGGTGGCTGTGCATCAGGCAGAGTGGCACCAGGAGGGCTGAGGGTAGAAGTGGATGGGGCAAGGGGTGGGTGTGGGAGAGGAGAAGGAGCACTTAGGAGATGAGGCGACCATGAAGCTGGTGCAGCTGCTCCTGGGTCAGCACCAGCCGGTGTCGCTGTCCAAGGCCAGCTGCGCACGAGAAGGTCACTTTGCCCATGTAGACAGTGTCGTCCTGCTGCTCCTCCTTGGCCTGGGAGTTGGCAAGGGGAAGAGGTCACCTGAGCTGTGTGCCACTCACAAGGCCTCTGAGCATGGAGACTAAGGCAGTCCCTGCGAGATAGGCTTTGAGGATCCTAAACTATGGTGACCACATATTTCAAATCAGAATTGAGGTACATAGTCTGACAAGGGAGTTTTGAGTCTCTCCTGGTGTCAAAAATCATAGATGTTTAACTGCTAAAATACTGAATTTCTGGAAGCACTGCAAGCACTCTTGAGTCCCTTATAAGTAAGACTTGGACAGGCAACTCAGGATGTGCAGTTGTTGGACCTGAGACCCCAAAGCCCTCTTCATATTCTGGAGGAGAGGGGAAGGACCCGCGTGAGCCCTCAATACTGCCCATCCTCCCCCCAATGCTCCCTCTTACCCTGAGGAAGGCTGATGAAGGGAAAGTGGCAAAGTCAGTGGGGACTGTGGCTCCAGGGCGCTGAGATACGGTTTCCTTAAGGACCTCATCCTGGCAAGGAGTGGAACAAGGGTTCATTTAGGGGACCCGCACAGGCTAGCCCAGTATCTCCCTGGCTTCACAGGGACACTAATATCAGGGGGCAGGGACCTGGTCCTCTCTGTCATCACACTTTTGTTCTCACCTCCAACCCCATCCCTATCCAATATCCTTACTTTACAGATCCTTATCCTTTAAGGTCCAACTCAGATTCTACGGCCCCTGGGAAGCCATCCGCAACCATTCTACCCCACAGTGATCTCAGCACTGAAGAAGCTGCACCCAAACCACACACTCTCAAGATGATCCTAGCTCAACCCATTTTGTTGATGAGAATCTGTCTTCTGTCTGCACTGGGACAGTGAGCTTCCAAAGCAGGAACCCCACCTTGCCCTCTACCTCTTATCACAGGGCTGGGCTCAAAGGAAATATGGGAGTGCCTGTGGAAACAAATGTGCTAAGGATTCCACCAGGGAACACTATGAAGCAAACTCTGTAGACTGAGGAAGGGCAGGGTCTGAGCTAACCTTGAGTTTCTCGATGGTGTCACTTAAGGACTTGAGCTGAGCCACCTGCTCCAGGAGCTGGGCCGACGGGCTCTTGGCAGCTGTGGGGAGGGAAGGCTAGTGAGGCCCACCAAGGCCCAAGCAGGCAGCTATACTGGATTAAGAGTCAGAAAGTGAAGATACTAGACCTTCTCATGGAGCAGGTACGTAATGGGTGAATCAAGCAAACTGAACACTGAGGCCAAAAAGCAATGCCAGGAAGAGCCTCTACAGTATGGCAGCTGCCTGGGTAGGGGTTACATCCCTGGGGCAAAGGGAGGGGGTATATTATTAATCTCAGGGGTTGGTGGCTCCATACCAGGGCTGGTACGAGTGATATCTACTACGTGGGTGTGCGTGCTCAGTTGATTCAACGTCTCCAACAGCTGGCTGGTCTTACGATACAGCGCTCCAGCTGTTAGCTCACTATCAGGGCCCTCATGGGGTGAGAGCTTTGCCACATGCAGTGGGGGCAGGGCTGCTAAGGATGCCTTCATCTGGGCTCCCTGTGAAGGAAAGAAGAGAAATGGCAGTGAGAGGTGACAGAAGGCCCTGCCATCTATCATCAATGGGGCAGGGGGGCTCCACCTGCACCCCAGTCCTCCTTGTGAACAACTCACCTTGAGGATGCTATTCTCATGCTGTAGCTGGGAGATATGCAGCCTCATGGCAGAGATCTGCTGCAGCAGCAGGGGTGAATCCTTCACCAGCCCGGGGCCTGCAACAGACCCTGGTACCTGCCCGGGGGTGCCTCCTGTGTGTACCAAGACAAATGCCATCAGCTCCAAGTGGAGAGGGCTGAAGATGGGCCCCATCTCCACTCAACCCCTCTCCTTATCCACTCCCACCTCCAGTCCTGCTTGCTCCCAAGGGGGGGAGCCTTATCCTGCTCCCCCAGGCTGGTAACCCTCACCAGGGTGGGTTCCCACAGCCCCGGTAACCCCCCACCAGGGCGGGTCTCTACCTCGCTGCTGTTCTTCTGTGATCGGAATAGCCCATGGGGGAGCAGGAAGAGAGGAGAGAGGAGTTAGACAATTTGGGGCTAAGAGGTCACGCCAGAGGAATGCTGGTCACAACCTACAGGGAAACCCTAATCACTCCTCCTCTAATAAGACCCTGCCTCTGCCCTCTGCATCTGGGGTACGAGCAAATACGTGTGAAGGAAAGCTAAGAAAGAGGAATAAGGCCATGAGACAGGGTGCAGAGCATAAGGAAGAACAGCAGTGGGGGTGTGCGTGGAGGAAGCACTTGGGGCATGTGGCGTTCCAGCCTCTCTGCCTCATATTCCATCTCCAAGAAGGGCAGAGGGGATACTCCCAAGACCCTGAGATGTCTGCACCCTTGTTTCCCGCAGTAGAAAAGCTGAAGTTGAAGATGCAGCCACATTCCTGCTCCTTGGGTTCCCCACTGTTCTGAGGCGAAAGACACTCTTTTTGGTGGGAAATTTTGTAAGTCTGAACCGGTATCTGTTTAAAAAGCCTGTGCTAAAACAACACAACGGGGTAACTTCTGGAGACCCCTTCCCCAAAGAACAGGAGCCCACTGTACCACAGGAGTCCAAAGTCAACAAGGTACTTGGTCACCTCCCAAGATCAAGAGGCACCAGTGAGGGGGGCTTTGATGAGAACAAGACCCTAGGTGAGGCCAGGTGACAAGACAGGCATAGCAGGGGAGCTCTAGAGATCTTGAGGGCTTTAGGGCAAGAAGTCTGTCTTTTGGGGGTAAGAAACTGAAAAACTATAGAGCAGATGAGAATTAACATGGCAGTAGCCACCTCCATGATCCAAGAAAACTGGGGAGCCTGGGCCCAATAACCAGAAAAACTCCAGGTAAGGAGCCCTGACCACACTGGAGACCAGGCAGAGGTCAGTACACAAGCCCCAAGTGGGAGAAGTCAGCAACGGGACAGACAACCACACCATGGAGTAAATGCATGTGAATTCAGTAGGGGGAAATGCAAAGTGTAAGCAGAGAAGCAATCAAGTGCAGGAACCAGGCATGGCTGGATACGGCAGCAGAGTTAGCCCAATCTGCTGCAGGCTGATGACCCTCTGGGATATAGGGCTGGGACAGAAAGGCCAGACTGCAGGTCCAAAAGGGAGATATGCTAGAGTCTAACTGTTATGGTAATTCTGAGGTCAGCTTGGTAATGCCCCACCTTGATCAGCGCTGGGGGAGCGGGGGGAACCTCTGCACATATCTTCAGGAGAAGTAAAAACTTGGTGAAAAACTGCCAGAGTGAAACTGGGCGAGCACATTCCTAGCTGAACGTCCAGTAAGAGGCGGGTAGAAGTCAAACTGAGGCCAAGGACAGGAGGGAGGCCATTCAATCTCCTCTGCGCCAATGGTGCCTGTCCCACTGCACTCACCACCAGCAATGCCAGAGACCAGGGTAGCAATACCCGAGGGAGGGGGCCCCCGGAGCCCCTCAATCGTGCGCTTCGACTGGCTGTTCAGCCGCTGCTTTAGCTCTGCCTTCTCTGCCTCTAGCTGGTCAATGTCAGCCTGGAGTGCATCCATCGTCTCCTCAAACTCTCTGTGAAAAAGAAATCCGGGCTTGGGCAATGCCCTTTCCCCAGAGCCCCGTCCCCATTTCTCAGTCCAGACAGGTCCTTGGAGTAGCCCTGCTGGTGAGGAGCCAGGAGCAGCACATGATATGACTGGGGTGACACAATGGTGTTGGCAGTGGGGAAAGGAGATGGCATCTGCTCCTCTGGGGAGAGTCTCACTCTGATAGGGCCTGGATAGGGGGATGAGTTAGGAGGGAGACCAGCTGGCAGGGTGGAGGGGTGGAAAAAGCAGGGGCCCAGGGAAGGTGCCTGACTTCTCCTTCTTCCGCAGCAGTGCCTGGGTCTCCTCCAGGCGAGTCTGGACTTTCTCGATGCGCTCATCTGCATCCTTGGCAGCACTGTCCAGCTTCTTCTCCAAGAGGCTTAGCCGCACGTTGGCCTCACTTAGTTCCTCCCCCTGGCGAAGGTCAGAGTGTCCAGTTCCCTTACACCCTCCTTTACATCCTCCCAGGGCCCCCAGGGACCTGTGACAGAGCATGAACCAGAAAGCTCCTAAAGGCCCACAGCTGTTCCCCACACTGATCACAGGTGCCCTCAACCCTCAACCAGTCTCAGCCCCAGGAGATCCCCAACACTCAGTGCTGACCTGTACCTCAGCATACTTCCCAGCCCCCTAGCTCCTGAGCCTACCCTACACCCTCACCTTGATTTTGAGTGACTTCTTCAACTCCTTGATAACTGTCTCTCTATCTTCAAGCTTCAAGCCCAGGCCTTCAGCATCAGTGATCTCTGCACGAAGGGCTGCAGCCCGCAGCTCAACTGGGGGAGGCTAGGGGTCAAGCGAGAGCAGAGGCAGGGGTAGTGAGAGGAGGTCACCAACATTCTCCTTCCAGAGAGAGCTGGGCACAGGGAAAACCTTGCCTTCTAAGCAGGGCGGTGCCCTCTGGATTCCCCGCTCCTGCCTCCCAGTCCTTCCACAACCAGCAGCAGCTCTGCCAAGTCCTGTTCCCCTGAGCCCCTGAAGCCCCTCCACAGAGCTCCCCACCCACCTTGCTGGGGGGCCGCTCTGCATCATACTCTCCCTCCTGCATGGCCGTGGCCAGTTTGTTCATGGTACTGATGAGGATGTTGCTCGACTGGCGCAGACACTCATAGGGGCTGCTGGAGGGGGTCCCGTAGATCTACAGGAGCCGAGGGCAGTAGTGAAAATCCCACACTGGCCATATCACTCCCCCACCATGTCTGCCCTGCCGTCCAGGCCTACCTGCTCGCTTGCTTTGAAAGCCAGCTCCTCCAGGGCAGCCACAGGCAGTCCCTCGTTCTCTGCCAGTGGGGCAATGAGCTGGGCGGCAGCAGCTGCCACCTCCTGCAGCACAGCCACCACCCACGTCAAGTGTTTCCTGCAGTCTAGGAGTGTGTCGGACACCTGTGCAACAGCCCAGAGTCAGGAGCCCACCCGGAGTCCAGCACCACAGTTCCCAGTTACCTTAAAACCATTCTTGTTCCCTGACCAGATCCAGATCTTGACACTCTAAGCCCTTCCTGGTTCTACTCAGCTTCCTTTCCTTCCCCCCATCGCTGCCCTAAACCTGTGGTCCAAAGGCCAGTGCAGCTGGGATCCCAGGAGCATCTGTCCCTGGCATTCGCCTTCGGATCTTCTTGCAGAACTGGCGGATGTCACTACATGATGTTTCCAGGTCCCGGAGCAGGAGGGCAATATCTGAAGCCTCCTGTCCACCCTACTCAGAGAATATGAAACAGACGGGGAACCAAGTCAGCATTAGGGCTGGAGGTGAGGAGGCGGGGGTTAACAAGGAGGAGGAGGTCCAAGAGATCGAGCTGTGCTCTCACCTGCAAGAAGGCACGCAGCCGTCCCACCTCTACACTCATGCAGTCAAGGGCACTCTGGGTGAACTGTAAGGATAGATGCATGTGGTTGTCAGCCCCCAACAGGAGCCCTTCTGCACCATCACCATCCATCTCTAAGAAGTCCCCACCCTCCACTGACCCCCATAAAGATATTCGTTCTCTGGCTTCCCTGATCTGACCTTGTTCCAGTCTTATGTGACACCTCTTGAGGGCCAGATCTCTTGATCTGATGTCCTCCATTTCTGATATCTACAGGGGGCTCAACCACTGGCCCAGAACCTTTACCTTAATGTGGTCAGCCAGATGCATGGTACTGTCCTCGGGCTGTTCAGCAAGATGGATACTGTACAGATGCTGAGGGGAAATGACAAAGCAACAGGCAATCTTTAGGTCTTGGAAGGACGGAGAATTCTTCCCAAACTGTAATTGGAGCCCAGTCATCATGGGACTCCAGAGGTACAGGAGAATCTGAAACCCCCAGGGAACTGCATCCTCAGGCAAGCTCCTCTAAGAGCAAGCCAAGCCATAGGCAGCCAGCTGAGGACAGACAACCTTGGCTATGTTGCCAACAGCCCTACCAGGAAAAACCTTCCCTCCCTCCTATGCCAAGCCTGAACTCTTGCCCCAGACCTGGTAGTACTTGATGGCCTTAGTGAGAGGCTCTACGTTGACAGTCTCATCCAGCTGATCCTTGTGTAGCAGCTCAATGAGGAAATCCAAGGAGCGCTCGTGGGCACTCATCTCAGGGTAGAGGCTGCCAACCTTCTTATACACGTCCACATTGCACTGAGAGAGGGCGCTAGAGACCAGAGAAGGGTCCTCTGAGGCCAAGACCTGCCAGGCAATGTCGGTTCTATCCAATCTCAGCCTGCGGCCCTAGAGTGGGGCCAGGGATCACTTACTGCTCATAGCGGTGGAGTGTGGCCTGCAATAGACTCAGTGAGTACACCAGCCCGGCAGCAAAGCTGAGCTGCTCCCCTGCAGCTCCTCGGAGCCCAGGCCTCTCTGAACAGTTTTCGCTTAGTTCAAACTTCTCCTGGGCCTGCTTCCGGATCAGCTCTGCCTGTGGGAAGAAGCACCAGGGACCTGGGGCTCAGAGAAGAAGATGGAGAACACAGACTCAGGAATACAGGACACAAAACTGAGCAACTACGTCGGGGGCATGGACACACGTGGAGGAGAAAAGCAGAAACGGCTCCTAGATAGTCAGGGAGTCTCACACAGGGAAAAGATAATGATGTGATTACTGGTGGTTATGAGGATTTGGAATGTGGAGCCAGTGAGCCCAAGCTCTTTCCTGCCTTAAAGCTCCTGCTGCTCCTGCTACCCTTTTACCTGAATTCTATCCTGACAATTATTCCCCCACTAGTTCCTAGTCATCTTCTGGGTCTCAGCTCAAATGTTACTCCTTCAGTGACACCACCCCATCTAAATCAGAGCCCAGACCGTGCTCTCTCAAAGAAGCTACCTCCTCATCAAAACCCACCATCTATAATACACATTCCTCTGCGACTTTGTTGACTATATTCCTCCACTACATCATAAACTCTTTATGAGCAGGGATGCTGGCTGCTATCTTCGCTCAGCATCCTCAATGCCTGTCACACAGCAAGTTCAACAGATTCCTGTTGAACATGTGATTAGGTTGATTGGCCATACCTTGCAAATGAGACGAGGCATGAGCAGCAGCACCAGGACACAGTCATGGTCCCCACCTGGCCGAAGGAAGCTGTCTGGCATGAAGGCTGTAAGCAGGGACATGTGACGGTTGGCCTGGGCCACCTCCATCTGCCTCAATTCCATCTCAATTGCCTGTGAGGTGGACAGGGAGGCAGGCTCTCAGCCAGGCTGGAAAGAGTCTCAGAGCCACCATGCTTTGCTCCACCAGGTCCCCTGCTTCAGGAGTCTTCCAAACCACCACACAAAGCACCCCCTCCTCCAGCAACCTGAAGTCCAGGACCCCACGCCAGATCAGCCTACGGCCACACCCAGGCTGGATGCCCCAACACTCCCCACTCTCTGGTCTATCCGTTTTCTTGACCTTGGCATGAGCCTTAGTCTCAGCAAACTTGATTTTAAAGTCAAAAGTCTCCGGGGGTGGCTGCTGCTGCCTCTCCACAGATGCTTCTTGCTGGTTTGTCAGTTCCCGATTCACATCCTGGGGGCAGAGACAGACAATGAGGCACAGCTGGGGCAGGAGGGAGCCCTGGGCAATCATGAGTGGACAACAGGGGGTACGGAGGCACCTGAAGGTGGGCGGTCAGCTGGCGGTACTTCTTGATGGTTTGCTGGTAGTCTGCAACAGTCTCCTGGGCTGCTTCTACACGCTTCTGGGCCTCCCGAACCCTCGCGCCCGCCATGTCCAGCTGCTCCCGCAGCTCCAGTTCTGTCTCGCGCGCATTCTCCTGCAGCTCATCGTTCATCTCATTCATCGCTTCCTGGAAGGTGCCAAGGCAGTAGAGGCAAAGGAAAAGCAGAGTCAGAGTAGAAGGTCAGGGTGGGGCCACTCACCGCACACCCTGCTCAAAGGGGTCCTGTGTCAGTCCCTCTTTCAGCAAGCGTCTTCCAAACACCCTCCATCGGGGTGGGAAATCTGGGATCTGTTCTCTTACCAAGTCCCCCACGGTCTCTCTCAACTCTCGCACTTTCTCTTCTAGATTCAAGTTCCGGTCTGTTAGCATCTCCACCATCTCCTCAGCACCCAGAGCAGCATCCACCTGTGTTACATGGAGGGAACAGAGAAAAGGGCTGCTGAAAGGTGCCTAGAAAAAAGAGGCACCAACCTGGGAGAGGGGTCCTCTGGGCCAGAGGCTGGGGTCCCCAGACCTGCTCCTTGAGCTCATCGATGGTGCTCTCCGCCTGGCTCAGCTCTTCCTGCAGACGCTCCCGCTGTTGCCTCACAACTTCCAGCTCTTGGTTCTTCTTTTCCATGAGCTTCTGGAGTTTCACATGCTCCTGCTTCTCCGAGGAAGAAAGATCCCGCATCCTATGGGGAAGCGGGGAGGGAGAAGGGAGAAAGTGTGTGTCCACATCACTGGCAATGGGCGCTATGATACATTTGGGGACAGGAGAGTGAGCTCCGGAGCCAAGTAGGGAGGGGATCCTACCTCACCAGGGCATCCTTTAGGCGGGCATTCTGCTCCTCGAGCTGCTTGAGCTGATAACTGGACGCTGCCCCATCTGAGCCTGGGGAAGACCATTTACACTTTCAGACATAGTTCTAACCCCACCATTTGGCCCCCAGCAGCTCCTGGCCCCTTACCCTTCTCTTCAATCTCAGCCTTGAGGATCTCTAAGTCAGTGGTGAGCTCATCCACACGTTCTTTCAATGCCTCCACCTCCTGCTGCAGGGACTCAGCCCGCTCTTCAGCCATCTCCTTGTCCAGAGTGGCCATCTCGATGGCATCAGCAGTGTCAGCCATCTCCTCCATGTAACGTTCCTTCGCCTCCAGTGCCTCTTTGGCTTCCTAAGGAGGAGTGGAGGTTGGTGGGAGTGCAAGCAGAGAGATGCCTCATGTGCCCCTTCTCACTGGATGTTCTAGGCTCTGGCCCAGTTACTGGTACAGTGGCTTGGGTCCCAAGCTCCCCAGCCAGCCCCTTTCACCCCAAGTCCCACCTTCCGCGCCTCCTTGAGGCGTCGTTGCAGGTCCGCCTGCTGCTCCTGCATTTTGCTCTTCCATTCCTGCACCTGCTCCAGCTGGATCTTATGTTTCTCCAGCTCTTTTAGCTTTGCCTTGTCTTCTGCCCGTTTCAACCGCAGGGTCTCCAGTTTCTCCTCCAGATCCCGTACCTGGGCCCTCAGCCCCTCCTCCTCCTACAAAGGAGAAACCCCTCAGTGGGTGCACAGCCTCCCACTCCTCCCACCAAGGTTGAGCTGGAGCAAAGGGACAAGACTGTATGCAAACAACATTCTAGAGCCCCAGGGTCAAAAGCAAGTGGCATACAAACATCTGAGAAAAGACCAATGCATAAGGGGCAAGTATGGAAGAAGGAAAGAAAGGGTAGCCAAGTCAATGACAGGCTAACCATATGCTATGTCCCCACCCTGCTGATCCAAATTCTGGGTCTCCCCCAACCCTGGAAAATTTCCAAGATCCTTCCCAGGGTCATAGGCGCCCTCTGTATCTTGGTTCTTGTTCACTCCAACCCCAGTCCTTACCTTGGAGGGGGAAGGCAATGGGGGTGCTGCTCCAGGAGAGGTGAGAGCCGGTGTGGGGATGATGGGTGCTGCCAGGGGAGTCTGAGCTGGGGTGCTGGGCTCACTGCTGCTCAGCTCACCTGCTGATGCTGAGCCAGAGGGGCCCAGGGAGCTACTGGCCCCAGCCACCCCAGTACTGGCTGGGCGGGTGGGCTATTCAGAGAGGGCAGGGGCAGACCAGAAAAAGAACAGGGGTGGTGAGAGACAGAATATGAGAATATGTCAAGGGAAGGAGACACAGAAGGAAAAAGACAGTGAGAGAGAATATCAAAGCACAGTGAGAACAGAGAAGCAAAGTGAAGGAGAGAGGAAAAATGACAAAGTCAGAAATGGTGACAAAGGACGGGGGAGGCGGGAGGCAGGCAGAGGGGAGAGGGAGGAAGTGATAGAAGAAGACATAAGATTATAATGCTCCTCCCTTGGCACTGACCCCACATTCCTCCCAGCTCTGGCACTACCCACTTACAGCAGAATCCCTTACTCCCCAGACCTCCCCTCTGTGACCCAGTTGTGATCATTCTGGCAATTTCCAAATACTCCCAGTCCTATCATTGCTCTGGGCCTGTACCCTCCTCCCCCAGGAAGAAAAACTACCCCAATGTCATTCCCAGAGCAAAAGAACAAACTGGAGTTTGTTCTCTAACTTCCATGTTCCCAGAGAATTCTGGGCTAGGAGTGCAGGTACCAAGCTCTGTATCCCACTCTTTGGAAGTTGAGCTGATTCTCCCTCCCTTGGTCTACTTTAGGGGACCCTGCAGGTAAAAGGGCCAGACTGAAAGTTGTACTCCTAGGCTCCCCCTTGAAACACGGTCAGTACAGCCAACCTTCTGTCATCTCTCTCCCCGCAAGACAGAGGGGCTCTAATCAGGCAGTATCTACCCAGGCCCTGTGGGGCTGAGGCAGAGGAGCTCTCTGAAGCCCCAGGCCCTGGAGCAGACAGGCCTGTCCAGTGCTCTCCCTTGAAGTATTGAGCCCTGAAGCATTCCTGGTGGGCTGACATTCAGAGACCACATGCTACCCACAGACACCCCCAGCTCCTTATCCCCCGACGTTGACACTGCCAAGTTCTTTACCTTTTTTCCAACTTCTACCCCCATTCATGCATCAAAACTGGTCAAAATGCCCTTTTTGAAGAAAGCCAGCCCTGATTAACCACAACCACTCTCATATCTCTTTTGCATTCAGGCTACTGGCCCATACACTCTCCTAAGAAGTCATTTTTGCAGGAGAGGCCTGTCACTACCCTCAGTCCCCTCACTCCTCTGAAAAAGAGAACCCAGGATGCACCGTGACCAACTTCTACTTGCTCATACACATGCCCACACACATGCACATGCCTGAAATGTGTGTCTACACTCAGCAGTGGCTTGTACAGAGGGTTTTTTTTTCTCTTTGCTGGGCATGGCCGGTTGGCTGTCTGGACAGGCAACAGGAGCCAAGAGGAAATGAATCAGAAGAAAGGATAATGTGAACAGCAGAAGGGACAGCAATGAGAGCAGAAGAAGTACCAGGAATGGGGCTACAGTTAGCTGCTTACCCACTCCCATCCCCACCCCGTCATTTTTTCCCTCCAGTGAATTACCTTGTTCCCACGCCAAAAGAACGTTTCGAACTCCCTATTCCCCATTGGCTCCTTGTCCCACTTATGCCCAACCCTTGCAGACCTCACCCCTTCGAACACCCTGGATATCCCAGAAATCCCCGTCTCCTAGGCTAAGCCACAGGAGACAAAACATTAACAACAATTTGGGGTTCCCAGAGATTAGTCCTTCTGGCACTCCAGCCCAGAGCCAGAGGCCCCACTCCCAGGACTTTCCCAGATTCTGTGTGTGGCCACTGCACTGAGTGCTGGAGCTCACAGAACTCGGCCAATGACCCGGTGATCTTTAGATGTCAGAAGTGGGGATACGACAACCAGGGGATCCAGGCCCCTAAGGCAGCCATCCTCTCACCCTACCCCATTCCCCGGGCCAGATCCTGCAGCAGTCTCCATCCCCCTCCCTAGGGCAGAGGGGCTCAGGTGACAGAATACATGAATGCATTAACCAGAAGCCCAGAGCTCAGCAAAGTAACCCCACCCAGCTTTGCACAGAAAGGACATGGAGGGCAGACAGCAGCATAAATACCTGCCTTGGCTAAAACCTGGTCCCAATCTTGGTCCCAAATTATGTTCTTGCTACACAGAGTCTCATAGCTCCAGCAAAGATAGATTTGGCCTAGACCCTGCTTCTAAGAGACGTTGAGTCCAAGGAGACCATACCTCCTGCCACCTAGCAGCCTCCATAGCTGAGGGTCAAAGATCTCTAGGGTACCCATCCCACCCTGGGAAAGCTCCTTAGCCTACACCCCTGAGGGCCAGAGGGGATGCTGGGAGTACAACCAAGAGGCATCCTAGCAAGGACAGGGGTGGAGGTGGTCTGCTGAGCATGAAGACACAGGGACCTGCTTCCCAAATCCTCTTAACAGGAAGCCTCCAAAGGGGCAGTTTGCGAAAAAGCTGCCTGAACAGTTGTGGGGAGCTTACTGGTACAGGCCCAGAACACACACACGCACACTCAGTCAGAGGCCAAATCAGGCAGAGCAGGGAGCAAATTTCCAGCGTGTGGGGCATGGCAGTGACACACACCTCTCCCTGCCCCCCACCTTCAACCCCACCCTCCTCCCCCAACCAGGTAGACAGATGAAGTCAATCAGCCCCCACCCCCACCCCAGCAGCCTGCTGCCACCATCGCCCTGGCAACCCGGCAGCAGGACCAGAGCAAGCAAGAGTACCTTTCGGGCTGTCGGTGCCTGTCTCATCATTGCAGAAAACCAAAGAAAGCCAGGAGAGGAAAGAGAAGGAGGGACAGAGGAGGATGGACAAACACACAGAGGAAGGACAGACGAAGGGAGGGAGGGAAAAAGACCGAACAGAGGGAAAGGCGGCGGAGATAGGAGATTAGTGCATCAAATCCCAGCAATGCAGCCTCAGCTTCTCTGCCGGACTGCTTCCCAGCCTGCAAATGGCTGTGGCTCAGACGCAGAAGCCCCCGCAGGTGCGCAGTGGGTCAGCCTGGCTCCGGCAGGCACCGGAGAGGCGCCAGGCCCAGTTCACCAGCTAAGGCTGATGGCAGCCTCAGTGGCCGCAGCACCAGCTCCACCTGACGTCATGCACCCACCCTCCTCTGATCCGTGGGGGTGGAGCCACTGCTCCACGGTCACCTAGCAACCGCCAGGCTCTGCTGGCTCCGCCTCCCCCACATGACTGGATAAAGTCCTGCGCAGAACCCGCCCTGCTTCTTCTTCCAAAGAACAGGTTCTGATTCTTCCCTCCCCTTCCCTCCCCCACCCCATCCCCAAGAGTCTGCTCCAAGAAACTGGGCTAGGGGCCATCCCAGAAATGGTACTCTCTGGGGCCAGGGCATGACTGGGCAGGGACATGGAGCCTCATTGCTCCCTCAGCCTCTCTCATACACTTCCCTCTGCCCACAGCCCATCAACTCCACTTGTCTTTTACACACACAAGACAACGCCCTTACCCAGAACACCCCTCCTGTGACAGCATCCGCTCTGAGGGGCAACAATGACACTAAGAAACCCTGGGGAATATTCAGCAGTAGCTCTAATGGCAGTTTGGCTCCTATCCAAACCCTCCCCTGGTTGAAGGGGGATTAAAGCCTGTCTCTAAAGGCCTTCGAGAAGGGAGTGGACACCTTTTAGAGACATCTGGGTTCTCTTCTGCCCTCCCCTTCAAAAGTTCCTTTGTTTTTGGTTCTAGTGCTAGCTCTCCATTCCCCGCAGAGTGAGAGCAGGGCCCTGGGCTAAGTGGTCTGCTATGAGAGGACCACTGGAGAGGAAGATCTGGCTACGGACTTGACTATTTAACTGGCATGTCGCACCAGGAGCAAAGAAGGCCCCGTATCCCAGCACAGGCAGTCTATGCTGGGCTTTGCCACATTTCCCCAGGCAGCTGCCAAAACCCCAGCATTCAGACATGACTCAGGCCCCGCCCAGGTCAGGTCAGCCTGTGATGAGAACTCCTCCAACGATATCAGACTGCAGGTCCATGCTCTTCTCTATTCAGGGGCCTGAGGCAAGATGGGAGCCCCAACAGGAGACAAAAACCAAGGGAAGAAGCCACTGTTCTATGACCTTGTAACTGGTCCAGCATCCTTTACAGCATGATTTTCCTTCTCACATCTCCACTCCCACCTGAGCCAGGACCTCAGAGCAAGTACCAGTATGTGGTCTCTTCCATGGCAAGACTCCAAAATGAGGACCCACTAACAACCAGGAATTGAAAAGATGTTTTCCTCTCCCCACCCACTGCCCCGATCCAGTAGCTCTCCATGCAGGTCATAAGGGCCTGAGACAATTGGCGACAAGGAAATCACAGAACCATACATACAGCACAGTACATACAGGTCAGACAGGCACATGCACGTCAGAGATAGCCTGGGTACAAGCCCAAGGCAGGGGCTGGTGTGAGGAAGTGGTCATGGCAGCGACTTAGGAGTTCAAAAGAGTCTGGGGGTGGCACAGTTGAGCCCCATTCAATGATGGCTGATGAAAGTCTGCAAGGGCTGGGCCTCAAGCACACCACCAGAAGAAGGAAGAGGCAGGGAAAGACTAGTGGAGCAGTGTGAGGGTGGGCATCCACGGCAGTGCTCACCCAGAGGGAGGCACATGGACTATCAGGCTTTCCAACTCAGGACTGTTCTCCCTGGCCTCCCGCCTCCTTGCCCAATCATCTCACCTGGTACTTTCACCTAGCCTCCCAGTGTTTCCTCCCACTGCCCCCAAACTTGAGCTGAAAACCCAGTAATGTAATCCAGTAAATGCTGTACTCCATGCTGCTGCTTTACATTCACAGTCAAATGTTTGGAGTGTCTGATGAGAAGTCCTAAGGCAGTGGGGAGAGGGGCAAATAGGTGCAGAAATCATCTCTAATGAGTGCCATCTGAGCCTGGTACTGAGCCTGATGTCCCTGCATCCCTCAAAGGAACTCTGAAAGCCAAGGCTGCCATTTCCTCTGGCCATCCCAGCCCCAAGGTCACACACACATGCATGCAGCAGCCCAAGGACATGCAGGACAGCTGGGGAGGAGGCTCATGGCCCTCACCCACCCAGTCACAAATAGTAAACACACCACCTTCTTAGGCTTCAGTCCCCGCTGCATGAGGAGTAGGAAAGGGCAGAGTTAGAGAACAAACGCCACAGTGTGACTAGCTGGCCAGACATCCTGGGTGTAGGTGTTAAGACCAACTCAGGTACACACAGGTAAAGGGGGAAGTCAGGTCACTGCCAAGTCCTGGTAAGTGAGATGAGGGGTCCCTCAAGGATCAGATTCCAGGCTGTCCACACCCTGGCCCAGAGAAAGTGGAGAATCTGAATCCCCACCCTCACACACCCTGCGCAGAGCAGTGCAGGAGAATTAGAACAGGCCCTCTGCATACAGCCTAAAATAGGCAGCAGTAGGCACAGCTCCTTACCATTCGCTTGCAAACAGGAGAACTCCTTCTTCCTCTAGTTCTCACCTTACCCCTACCCTCTGTCCTTTTAGAGCCTGGCAGCCTTGGGTACCATAAGGCAGGAAGTTGGCAACAACACTACTAGGGTCAGACCTATCTTCCCTATCACCCCTAGCCTCGGCCCCTTTTGACTCTAAACATCTGGGCCCTAACAGTTTTTCCATGCTACCACCTTTACCCCTAAAGCAGCAGCTCATACCCAGAAAGCTTCCAGGGAGGTTGGAGACTGGAAGGCTAACTCCGTTTACTCACCTACTATTTCTACCTATCTAGCATTAGTCTCCCTCCTCTCTTTCTCCTTCCCCTCTTTCTATTGCTCCCCACTCCTACCCCCAACCACTCACCAGTTTGCTGGTCTTCGCAGCTGAGTCAGTTCCCTCTGTAGGAAGCAAACAGAAACAAAGCATGTGTTTGTATAGGGGGGTAGGGGCAGAGATCATTGTGGTGGGGTAGAAGAGATATAACAAGGGAGTATGGTGGGGATAGAGAAATCTCAGGATCCACTGTGGCCCTGTATTCTGGGAAGAAGTCCTGAGGACTCCTGGATGTGAAAAAGCAATTTAACTGGGTGGCTGTTACCTCTTTTGAGGACCTTTGAGGCAGAAGAATCAGGTGTCTCTGGGGAAGTAGTATCTGCTCCATCTTCAAATACCTGGATCTGAGGCCACAGAACAAACTCAATATAGCCAGATCAGCGATGGCTGCAATATGGGATGGATCTCTAATCTTCCCTCCCCCACTACCTCCCATTCTCTCAACCAGAGACTTACACTCATGCCCAGAAAAACACAAAAGCCACCCAAGCAACAGAGTATGTACACATGCATACACCCAGAGCAGGGTGTAAGTACCTGGGATTGGCGCACAAAGATACCATGCCCTTCATCACAAGTGAAGTACTTCCTGCCTTGGACAGTTCCATCATTCTTGCCCTTTGCTTCATCCAGGATCACGCCTACCCATTTGCCAGTGGCAAAGAGTGTGGCTCCAACATAGGCCACAGTGCCTCGATGGCCTTTTCCAATCACCTCTACACGGGAGCCCACTCGCAAAGGTCGGGCGCTTGCCTCGGCACTCATTCTGCTGCCACTGGGCGTCTGAAAGAAAGACACATGCAAATATATGCAGTTAAAGGCCTCACATCAAGGATATCATCCTAATGCATCCTAAGTAAGGCCTGGACAAGATCCTGGACTGAAAAAGGACAAGAAGTCACTTTCCTGAACCCCATTCTCAGGGTGAAGTGGACCCCAAATTCCCTTTTGAAAAATACCAGTGATATGTTCTAAGACTTCTCCAAACTCCTCTGGAATCTGCCAGAATTTTTAGGAGTTTATATTTAAATTTTATAACAAATCAGAACTCAATGACAGATCTGTGAATGTCACCACATGGCTTCTTTCTCAGGAGCACTGCCCCCAAGCAGGAGAGTAAAGCTCAAGTGAATAACTCAGTTTAGACCAGGCTCTCCAAGCCCAATACCCTGACTCAGGTGCCTAAGTTGGGAAGACAGGTGATTCATGGGTTACTCCCACACAGAATCCTGTTCCACTCCCCACTGTTGTCTGTGTTCCCTGTGGTCAAACAGCTCTTAGGTCTCTCACTCTCAAAGGCACACAACTGTGCCTCCCTCCAGCCCTGACTCCCCGCCCCCACCCCATCCACACACCCACCATGACATTCCTAGATACTTCACCACAGCCCATTCAACCTTTTAATTCCCTTCTCCCTGGCCCAAGCCATGCCCTATCAACTCTACCCCAAGCTCAGGAGATCCTTCCCCCAGCTATGTTGCTACAAAAAGAAAAACAAAAGCCAGGTAAATCAGATATCTTAGATCTGACCTGCACTGTCTCCCAGACTCTGCCAGTGGTCCAAATGGATAGCTTACTATCCCGTGGATGGACAAGGCAAAGGAATAGACTAAACATTGTCCTTCAGAAGTTCTCAGCTTCTGACACACCCGTGATGACAGGACACAACATGAAATTAGGTCCCAAAGAGGGCCATGGTTTAGAAGAAAATCACACCTAAGCCATTTTTAGCAACAGCAGCTCCATGAACCAAGGGCCTTGCAGCAAACAGATGAATGAGACATGAGAAAGTGACTCCCTGGTCCTAAAGATTCCACAGGGCTCCCCTTGATGCTCCCACTTGGCTTCAGAAGGGAGCTCTGACAGAGCCTGTCACTCCCTGAATCCCTTCCCCAAAGAGCTCATCTAGGAAGATAAGGATATAGTTCCCAGGGGCTTCAGGACCCCAAATCACACCTAGCACAGCAGAGTGGCTCTCATGGATCTGACGATAAAAAGAACTGACAGTGACATCAGGGCTAGCCCCACACTCAAGAGACTCCCCCAACCTCCCAATCCTAACAAGCCTCTCAGATCCAGGTGGACACAATAGTGGGTACAGATTCAATCTCAACCAGAAAGAGAAAGAGCAAGTGACAAACAACAAAGCAGTTCTAAAGAAAGGCGTCACTGTAAGGCCATTCCAACCCACCAACCCCATTCAGAGTCCCCAAGATAGTCCAATCCCCTCAGGAACCTCTGGCCAGAGGTCCAATTAAGAGTCAAAGGTCAGGCCTTGCCACTCCCCACTGAGGGCCCAACTCTGGGAGGGGAGGCCTGTCCAGCCTAGCACCATCACTCCCTGCTGCGAGTGGCCCCAGTCTAGCTCCAGCCTGTCTCCCCAGCCCCCACAGCTGTGTCCACAGGCACCCAGGCCTTCTCCAGCAGCCCTCCCAGGGCCATCCCAATAAGGACCACTTACCCGGCTGTACATATGCCTCTTGCTCTGGGCCATGCTGCTCACCCGGCCTCTACCCCCTCCCCCAGTGGGCCAAAGACAGAGAGAAAAGGCAGAAACCTAGACAGGAGGGTCAGGGCTCCAGGCCCTCATGGACAGACACAGAAGCCGTCAGGCACGGCCCTCCCCAGTCCATGGACCTCACTCGGTGGCCTACCGGGGTAGGGGTGGGGGCAGAGATGGGGGCTGAGGAGCAAGTCCTCTCTGCTGCCTGATGATTCCTGAACCCAGAGACACCGAATCCTGCTTGCCAGCTGATGAGTCTCACTCTGCGCTAGTGCTGCTCTAGACTTGTCAGGAACCGTGCTTGCATCTGGGTCCTAGTGCCCCCCTGCTTCACCTGGCCCAGACAAGCAGGGCAGGGACTAAGGGGCTAGGCCCACACCACGGAACCTCAGCAGTCACCTCTAGAGTAAACTGGGAGCACAGCCCTGGTGGGTCCTCCTAGTCTTCACCCCTCAGCATCACTGACACCCCCCCCCCAACACCTCCCCCTACAATGTGCCTCAGCAGGACCACAAGCATCAAGTGACACTTCAAAAAGATCAGCTACCAGCAGGCCTCCACACAGCCAAAACAAGGGTCTCTTACTCCCTATCTGGAGCTCTTCTCTCTCCCTCCTTTTTCTAAACTCTGAACTCAGGACCCAAACCCATATAATTATAGAGTCTGGATTTCAATCTCACACTGGGCCAAAGGAGCCAGGCCCTGCCCACTACCCAGCAAAGGAAGGGCAGTAATGGAGATAATTTCATACACACAGAAAAGCAAGTCAAGTACCTCAGTCCTCCCCACACTGAAAAAGGTTACCATACCCTTCCTCCCTTCTGGTCGTTATAAAGGGACACACTTGAACTCTAAGACTATCAGGTTCAACTGGATGAGTAAGAGCAGAGAGCTCCACGTGCCCCCTACAGCACAAGGCCCAATCTACCTCAATTACCTGCCCCTTACACTCTTGGCCTTGCTTTCTAGGCATCTCCTTAACAGAAAAAAATGAGATGTTTATTTTCTATAGTTCACAAAATTTCTTTAATAAGCATGTATTACTTTTATAATTGAAAATGTTTAACAAGATTAAGTATTCCAGTAAGAAGTCTCCAGAGGGCTATGTCATAATACCACTTCATTCATTTACCCATCTAACACGGCCTAGGAACCGACAAACCAGAGTCCCTGCCCCTAAGCACTCAAGGCTGGTCTGGGGTCTGCCCTATATAGCTCCACTATGTGCAGAGTGGATCTAGATTCCCTGGGCCTAGGGATACTTGTCTTCTCTGCACTGGTCTTCACAGGCCGAACAGAATCTTCCTCCACTCCACCCTCTAAGGCAGGCCAAAAAGCCCAACAGTAGAATGACAGTCAACAGTTAGATATATGGCCCCAAAACACCTCTTCACATCTTCAATCCTGGCCAGACCCCCATAGGAAACCATTTCTTTCCTCCCCTGCAAAATTTCCATGTTTGCCCTCTTCTTCCCTAGTCACATTTACCCAGGTAGGCAGAGCCACGCAGCTCCTTGCAGCCTGGACTTCGCATGTTCAGAGCACTTTACAGCCTACAGAGCACCGTAAAAAACACAAGTTTTAGTACCATGGTTAAGAGTACTGTTCTAGACTCAAGCTGCTTATGTCCAATTCTTGGCTTTACCCCCTGGGAACTGCGTAAACTTGGTCCAGTTACTTAACATCTCTGTGTTTCAATTTCCTTATCTGTCATTTGGGAGCAAAGAACACATCTCAGAGAGCTGTTGTGAGGATTAGCCAAGATAATCCATGTAAAACATTTAAGGCATTGCCTGGCATTTAGTAAGTACTCAACAAAAGTCAGCTAATAACAATGTTGTTATCCTCATATTTGTAAATCACAGTAACTCCACAGAAAGGCAGGCCTGGGACAGTGCTAACAAGGAAACTGAGGCTTAGGGAGCTAAGTAACTTCCCTAAAGTTACACACAAGGTGAGGAATGGAGCCAAAACTGGAACCAAAGCCTGAACTGGAACCCTATGCACTTTCCACTAGCCTCACTGTTTACCACATGTATCTCTAGGCTTCTTCCAAGGGCATGCTCCGCCTCTAGACCATACTGTCTTCCAAAATACAGGAGAACTCATATCTAAAAACAACCTCATAACTCACCAACCATACAGGTGTATATATAGTCACCTAACTTCTTGGAGGCTGTTTCTTCTATAAAATGGGAATATCAGCTGCCATCTCTACATTAATGTTATAAGGCTCAAATAAGGTATAGCACATAAAAGTGCTTTGTAAAAAGTACAGAAGCTGTAGAAATGCAAAAAAAAATCAGCTGACACAATGTAGTATATAAACCTAAAAATAAAATATCTAGGCAATGTTATAATTATAGGAATTACAGACAAAAAACAGGTGAATTAAAAAGAAAAGGGGTACCTGACTATGCCTTGAATTATGGGCTGGGTGTTTTGTTTTGTTTTTTTCTGGATATGTGGAAAGGCCTACAAACACTGTAAGTTGTAAACACACTTTGAGTAGGGACAGAATAGTTTTGCTTGACTAGGAAATATTAAAGTAGACTAGTTTGGCTGAAGTAAAGAATTCTAGATGAGTTCCTCTATCAAACTATAAGCCTTTTAAAGCAAAGCCCACAGGGGCCCTGGATGGCACAGTCAGTGCATCCTGATCTTAACTCAGGTAATGATCTCAGTTTGTGAGTTCGAGCCTCACATCGGGCTCTGTGCTGATGGCACGGAGCCTGCTTGGGATTGTCTCTCTTTCTCTTTGCCCCTCACCCGCTGGTGTTTTCTCTCTCAAAATAAATAAACTTAAAAAAAAATAATTAAAAAAGCATAGCCCACAACTTTTCGTCTCTGTGATCCCATCACCATTAGCTCATGGAGTCAAATGTTTATTGAATAAATAAACACATCAATGTTGAGATATACTAGTAGGTTAAGTATGGATAGTCAGGGAGCTTAACATTCAGGTAGGGAAAGATAAGTCCATCTCCATGATCCAATAACAACAAGTGTGTCTTCTTCCTGAGCAGGAGACTGGCATAATGAAAACTATTTTACAAAGATCAAACTGGAGGCAGAGCAGGCTGGAGTGGAGGCAAGAGCAACTTGGTAAAGACAGGATAATAGCAAGGAGGTTGCTGCATAATGAGCAACGGGTGAGGAGGGTCTGAACTCAAGCAGGAGAGGACAGAAACCAATTCAGAGGATGTACAAAGACACCCTGAGAAGGCCCTGGGATAGATCACACATGGGGAAAGAGGCGGAGGGCCTGCACGGCTCCAGAGACAGACAGACCTGCACACAGCTTTGGTTCTCCTATTTCCTCATCTGTACGACTCTGGTCAAGATACTGAACTTTCTGAGCCCCAGTTACCTCATCTGAAAAAAGGGGTAAATGATACCTACCTCACAGAGATGTTGTGAGGATTAAAGAAGTAAAGCATTTAGCACAGTGCCTGGCACAGATTAGATGCTCAACAAAATGCAGATGTTGTCTTCATCATTAGTGAGAAGGTACATCAATAATGACTTACACACAGTAAGAACTTAAATGCTACATGAATAAATGAATGGATGGATGAATGAATGCACAAAAATTAAAATGAATGAACCCAGGAGCTTTCAAGCATGAGTACTGGAAGAATGATGATCGAAAACAATAAGAGAATTGGGAGGAACCGGGAAGGGAAATGGAACATGTTAGGGGAGAGAGGATAAGTCTTTTCTTAGGGCCTTCTCTGGAACAAATGTAACTGTACGTGGACACATGTATTTCACTATCTCCTTCCAAAATGAACTTGTGATGCCAACAAAACAGATTCCATTATCTCTATATCCTACAGGTGATGGAACTGAGTCTCAGAAGTCAAAGGACTCTCCTGAGTCTCATGGCCAGAAAATGACAGAGCGCACACTTAACTAGCTCCACGGACAGGTGATCCTTTCATAGCACCACTGGGCTCCATCCCATGTCACACAGAATAATTCTGAGTTACATGTTCCCTCAGCCAGAGATGAGACAGATACACCCTGGATTTCTAATCTATTTTTCTCCCCAGTGATATTATATACTGTTAAAATATCTAGGAAAATGGGAAGAGAGGAAGGGAAAATCTATGTCTGATAAATAGATAACCAATGATCTTAGAGATTATTTCAGAAAATGACAGGAAAACGAGTAGACTGTTAAGAATTAAGGAGGAACAAGTAAGAAGGAAAAGCCTCTTTGGCGCCCAGCCTGCACCATTTCTACCTCGCTTTTACTAGCACCCCAGCATCCTTTGAGCCCTTGACCTCCTTTGTCTCATCTCAATTAACCTTGATCTTGAGCTAACTGAACTGTCTCATTTCCCTCATCCCACTCATAGAGGAAGTGGTCTGAGTCCCAGGCAGTCTGATAGCAAGGTTCACACATGAACTGAATTGCATCAGGCACTGGGCACTGAAAGTTTGGTTACAAAGATAAACACAAATTGGGGCGCCTGGGTGGCTCAGTCGGTTAAGCGTCTGACTTCGGCTCAGGTCGTGATCTCACAGTCCGTGAGTTTGAGCCCTGCGTCGGGCTCTGTGCTAACAGCTCAGAGCTTGGAGCCTGCTTCGGATTCTGTGTCTCCCTCTCTCTCTGCCCCTCCCCTGCTCATGCTCTCTCCCTGTCTCACAAATAAATAAAACACATTAAAAAAAAAACACACACACAATGGTAACCAACAAGATTCAGATTTTCTTCAGACTAGGATAAAACTGTATATCTCTGAAAGCACTAGTAAGGAAGGGATAAGTACTGATGTAAGTCCCTCAGGAATCAGGAAAAAAAGAGCTGTCTGCTCACTGAGTGTCAGGGGGTATGCAAGGATGGGACTACGAGGGTGGAAGGCTGGATTCCAGATACACACAGGAACCCAGAAATTAGACACACACAAAGCCCATTGCTCCTCGGTCTGACTCGTATCTACTTTACAGATCTCATACAGATAGGACTTAAACCCTAAATGGAC